ATATCAGTTATTCTTAATTCAAGCAGCACTAAATGTAATTTTTCACCTATGCATATCATGCACAAAATTAATTTTTGCATATGGAAAGAAATTTCTCATCATCAGTACCTTCAAAACTTTCATAATCATTGCCATGTGTAATGCCAACATAAAAGGTTACTATGCTATTTGGTATTCAGTTTTACTACTACTTAAAAAAAAAAAAAAAAAAAAAATATGCATCACTGCATAAGTCATCTCTCAAGATGCCACGAGTTGATAGTTATGTGATGATTAAAGGAAAAAAATGATTCACCAGGTTTGTATAAGGGATGTAAGTTATTAATTAGGTGTAAAACTAGTGTTGAACTATGGTAGAGTTGAGCAAACAAAAGGGTGGCTATGGAGCAAAATTATTTATTATATGGGTTTTTTCTAATAAATGATTGTGCTTATTCAACAAAGAGGTGTTTTATTTAGTACTTAAGTGAAATTCAAAATTCCTACATATGTTTTATTATGAAAAACTGCCTAATGAGCATGTGTGAAGCATTAAGAATATGCCAAAGGGGACACTACTATTAGAATCTAATTCTTTTTCCTTTTTTGAAAAAAAAAAAAAAAAATTGCTGGAAGTCTGGATTTAGGACTTTGTATTGTATTAATTTTAGGCTAGGCTTATGAATAGTAGATTCACTGTAAAGCAAAACATTCACATTTTTTATATTATGGTGATTTCCTATATGTTTTACCACCAATCCTCGAATTCCATATCACAGATTATGTTCTTACTGCATTAATATAAATATTAACAAGACATAGTGCACAATAAAATTAAGTTTATTTCGGAACTTCGCGCACACTGCCGACAGCCTGCCTGTTTCGCTCTGCTCGCTACTCGTAAGAAATTCTCCTCTAGGGTTGCCACACTTATCGGAGGGCGCAAGGCGCGCTCCTTATCGCCATCACCACAATATCTAGGTCAATGTAATTTGGTATTATAGTAGAATTAATTATTGGAAAATTTAAAACTGGAAATATTTAGTTTTCAGATTATGGTACATGATTTCTTATGTGGTGTTTAGGTAATGGCTGCAAATATTTTGAAATCAAAATATCCCCAAATGTGAATTTTCTGGGTGTGATGAGAGATATTTCTGTCAGATGCATACAAAATTAACCACAGGTAAAAACTTTTAATAAAGGCAAGTAAACTGGACATATATATAATTATACATATGTATAGAATTTTCCATTACTGAAGAATACACTGCATAAAAAAGACAATTAAGAAATACACAAAATACTTTTTTCTGGCATCTTCTTATCTTTCCCAATGTTTAGTCTTTGAGTTCGTATAGCTGAAAATAAATAAAATAAGCCTGTCATTCTGTTACCTTACATATTCATCTATATAGTATTTAAAATTTTACTATTAAAGTTTACTTGCAGTATTTTGAACAATGAAAATAAAAGTAATCTTATGTTCTTGAATTCTAATTTAAAATTAATGGATTATGCTAATTTAATTTTTATGATAAGATATGGTAAAGGACACTAAAGCCAGAGCCTGAAAAGCCTGGTGGGTGGTATTAGTGATAATCAATGACAATTTTTATAATGATAATAATATCAATAATGACAAAATGATCAATGATGACAATTTTTATTAATAAGTATGTGTCTATAAACAGTTATTTGGGAAATACATGATATAGAAAAATGCATAATGATATGGATTAGATTTAATACGAATACTGTTAAACATCTTTACAATGAAATTAAAACATATTGCATACACTTTTAAGTATAGGGAGAGGTAGCCAATTAAAAATTGCGAGCTTTGTATGCAATGTTACTGAATTAGCGAATTCTGAAAAATACTGCCTTTTCTAGTGAATGGTGTAACACCTGGGCAACGAGGGCCTACCCCTAATCGAATTATAAAAATCTCCTAATTGATACTTCATATTAACTTGGCAATGCTTTAATACTTATTAATTAAGTTAGTGCTAGCAGTTTCGCCGCCCCGGGCAAAGAGGTAAAATGCCGCCCGTTTATAACAAAAATTAAAAGAGATAACCTAAACCCTTCCCACGCTTAATGGTAAAATAAAACGGGAGCAAAAAATTTGCTATCAATAATGTTGAAGTTTTGATTAGCAAAAAATACTAATTTATGTTTTTGGCACTAAATTAAAATTAGGGTTGCACAGAAAAAAAGAAAAGAGTCATTTCTAGTGTATAATTATAAAATACAGATATCAAAAAATACTAAAACAAATTATAGAACCACTAAATATTAAAACTTAATTACATATTAAAAATACATTTAAACCGAGAATGAAACTTAAAAGTGTATTTTTCTCACTTTTAATTATGATAATTTTTTATAATTTCTTTAACATTAATTTCTTCAGCCAGTTTATGTTCAATGGCTATTCTTGTCAAGCCGTTTAGCCGATCCTTGGTAGTTGTGGAGCGTAAAAAAAATTTAATTAATTTTAATTTGGAGAAACTCCTTTCTCCACTTGCCACACTTATTGGGAGAGTAAGCAATATCCTGAAAACTATACCGAGATTTGGAGCAAAATCCAGGTTCGATATGAATTTTGGAATCTCGATTGGACTTTCTTTTTTATTTAGCAAAGCCAAAACCGCTACTATCTCGTCTGCCAGGTCCAGCGCGTTTATATCTGATGAATTCCCATCAGTTAACATTGTTTCTAGATCTTTACAATACTGTAGTACGTCGTTTTGAGGAGTATCTTTTAAATCACAAATATTGTATAAAAATTAGAAATAGTTGCTGTGAGTACTGATCAAATCAAACCTGGATTCAAGTGCATTGATAGCTTTATCTAATGTGAAAAAATAAAACTCTGCCTTATATTTCAAAGTAGAATCTTCTATCGGATCATCTCGTACCTCAAAGTCGAAATTAACATTCCTTCTTCGAACTCTATGACGTGGCTGGGTGAGTTCAAAATTAGCCGGTATGTCAGTTTCCTCGGCGAGTTCTAGAGCACGCAAAGCATTTCATTAAAGGCTGTATCCGATCTAAGATCATTGAAAAAATCTTTACAATTTTTCAAGAGTTCCATAGCAGATGGTAAATCATAGTCTTTTGTCTTGCAAGAGCTTACTTATAGGATTGATACAATTTAAGATTTTGTACCAAATTACAATGCAGCATAAGAACTTAAACTGTTTAACACATGTTAATAGTCCAGAAGCCTCAACTCTATTGAGTTGTCAATTTCCTAATTATTACAAACAGCAAGTAAAGCATCATTTATCCCTCCTAATTGATACCGTAGTGGTTTTAATGAATCTATTCGGCTTTCACTTAGAGGTTTCAAAGTAAGTCCGTGAACATATTTTATTAATATGGTCCATCGAAAAGTTGATGACGAAAAAAAATAGATATATTTTTTGAACTATATTAAAAAAACTGGCGGCTTCAAAGGATGCTTTTGCTATGTCATTAAATACCAAGTTTAATGAGTGGCTGCTACATAGGAAATAAAAGATAAAATACTCTTGGATTTAACGCATTTCCCGATTTATTACATTTTATGTTGGCCCCATTATCGTCCCCTCATATCCTGCAAATTCAATCCCAATGTTTCAAGTCTTAAGTGTTAGAGTTGAAAGTTCATAGCCAGTCGATCTTTCAACCGAAAAAAAGCCTGAAAAGCTTTCATTAATTTTAATGGAAACCTCCTTGGGATTGGATTTGCCAATGGATTAATACCTTACTAAGACTCATTTGCTCGATCTTGCTGATATCAAAAGTACAATCTATAATTATTGAATAATATTTAGTTTTTTTTAATCTCACTAATAATATGTTATATTTTCACCTAAAAGAATAATTAATTCATTTTGAATTTATTTTCCGAGATAGTGCACTTTAACTTCCTCTTTTTTAAGCACTCTGCGGAGATGCTCTTCAGTTACTGGATTAAACTGAGCAAGTAATGAATAATTTGTAAAAAATTACCGTTACCGAAATCGTAAAGTTTATCACTTGTACTTCGGAGAACTAAACAATTTTGAGCAAGCATTTTTATTGTTGCAACAATTCGTAGAAGCATCTCGTACCAATGATTTATTTCTGCGGTAACGAGTCTTTGTGAGTGACTGTCAATCGTTTTAGAGTACTGCATTCTTTGAGTTAATTCAATACAAGAGTTTTTACTTTGGATATGTTTTCTAGAGGTTTCATGTTGATTTAAAGTCTCAACGAGGTACTTCCAATCTTTAAAACCTCCAATAGAAAGGGAATTTAAAATAGAACTGTTTTGGCCTCCTCGGTGATTGCGGTGATTTGTACCCAGAGGGCGCACCGCACAAAAGAATTCGTTGTCTCGTTGAGCGAAGCTCAATGAAATCGTGTACCTAGGTCAGACCACTATCCCAATATAGCGAATGAATCCACTTTTCGAATCTTGAGCATACCATGGCAATGAGATTTAGAATTTTGAGTTTGTAGCGATTATTGATGATCGTGAGAATAGGTAAGGTGGTAGAGCATATCTTGAGAATAAAGTTGACGAAAGTAGAGTCCGTAATAGAATAACATGAAAGTTGGAGGCGAGACAAGACTTTTTCGATTACAATTTCGGAGGCAGCGAAGAACCGTCGTAGAGGAGAGTGCGTAGCTGAATGTGGGAAGTAAGGAAGCTGAGTGGTGCCAAAGAATCTCTAAATAGCTCTAATCTCTGCTTACAACTAGTCCGTTTCTCTTCCGAAATATTCGATTTATTTGATAAAATGGAAAATAACGGCTGAGATCAAGCCACTGGAAATATAACACACTCCCTTCTGGTGAGCAAATCCGGAAATTTGGTTCCGGCAGATGGAAAGCCAGTTCGCGTTGGCCGGTGTAACAGTTGAGTGCACGAAATTTCACCACGTAGTTTCCGCTTTACAACCTGAGGAGTTAGTGGGTGTGGGCGATATTATTCTTAACCCTCCCTTCATATACGGCAATCAAAAACTGTCTCTGTACGCAATATGCCGATACCGAGGAACAGCGGCTCCAGAGACCTCATTTCCGGAATGCAGCTTAGCGACAAAAAACCGTCATCACTCCTCTTACTGGAGATGCAAAGTAAAGTTGGCTCACGAATGAGTGAGGATCTTCTTAAATCGCTTTTCCTGCAGCAACTGCCAACGCATGCACAACAGATTTTAGCCATTTCCAGTGACAAGTTAGACAAGCTAGCTGAGATGGCCGATGGTATCATGGCAGCCACCGGAAACAGTGCTTCAGTGTTTGAAGTAAAAACGGAAGACTCTGCGCTAAAAGAATTATTAATGGATATTTCATCTCGCCTTTCTCGGATGGAAACACGTTCCAGATCGCGTTCAACCGAACGAGAGCAGCAGAATAAAAGAGGCCGTTCATCAAGCCGCCAACGACAAGGTAATAGAGAGCATTGCTGGTACCATCAGCGTTTCAAAGAAAAAGCTACCAAGTGCACAAAACCCTGTACCTTCCAGGCGGAAAACTAGTGCCGCCGTCACTCGACTCTTCGGGTGACGGCAGAACCGAGATTTATCGTTTATACCTTTCAGATAAATCCACAGCGTCAAAGTATCTGATTGATACGGGAGCAGATGTCTCGGTAGTTCTGCCCACAATTACGGAGCGCAATCAGCCACCCGCCAAGCGTCAACTTTTTGCTGCAAATGGGACTATAATACCTACTTTTGGACAAAAACTCATTAAATTGGACTTATCTTTACGTGGGGAATTTTATATGCCGTTTGTCATCGAAGTCATAGTGACGAAGGAACTGACTTCCTTCGTCACTTTGGATTACTAATCGATAGTCGTATAAAATTATGAGGGTACACTTTTAGCTTTTAGAAACTATTTATTTACAATTTTAGAATGTATAATCACAGAGAACTGCAATACCAGCATAGTTCTAATTTCAAATCTGTATCCAAAGTGTTGCCAATTACAAATTACTAAATATTAAATGTTACCATTTACAAATTATTAAATACTACATCTTCCGTTTTTTTAAAGAGTTCAAAAGTTTTAACAGCCTAAAATCAGTCCAAATATCTGGCCGGCTTTCTAATCACTCGCCCACTTCTAGTTCTTAGCTCACCGTTCCTTGTTTCTGAGTTAGCAGAGTTTGGTAGTTGATCTTCTAAACTTTGCCCTTGAGAATATCTGGAATCATATCCTTTTACATCTCTTTTCTGTGTATTAACTCCTTGTTCTGTTCCTCTGATATTCTCATCAACAGCTGAACTGTTTTCTCTAATATCTTTTCTATTTCTTCTCAATACTGATCCACCTGATCTAAGTATATATGATCTAGGCGTCTTATGCACTTCTTCTACAACTGCTGGTTTCCAGCGATTATCGTGATATATCCGAACACAATCTCCTTTATTTAGTGATGGTAATGTTTTTGTATGACGATCATAATATGACTTCTGTTGAGTTCTTTCTTGGTTGATTTTTTCTTTTACATTTCTCACAACTTGAGGTTTAAGTAATTCTTCAGATGTAGGAAGAATTGTTCTTGTTCTTCTACTCACACGTCGTTGAGCTGGTGATCCTAGCATCTCATTTGTTGGAGTGTTCCTATGAGCTAACAAATGCTAAATAAGGATCAGCATGATCTGCTTGAGCTTTCTTTAACAATTTCTTTCGCCGTTTGTACTGAACGCTCTGCTAATCCGTTCGACTGTGGATGGTATGGACTGCTTGTTATATGTTTAAATTGGTATTTCTTTGCAAATTCTGAAAATTCTTTACTTGCAAACTGAGGTCCATTATCAGATATCACTATCAATGGTATATATATATACCGTATCTTGCAAAAATGAGATTTCATGTAACTGATCACTGTGTGACTTCGAGTATCCGGTAGTTTGGAAGATTTCAAAAAAAGTTGGAATAGTAATCTACAATTAATAAATATACATCTTTGTTAATCTCAAATAAATCTGTCGCAACTTTATACGAGGTAAATTGGGAATTTCATGTGGTATCATAGGCTCTCTTATGTTTTTGTTCTGGTATTCATTACATATAGAACATTTTGAAATTTTATCTTCTATCTGCTTGTTCATAAGTGGCCAAAACAAAAACATCTCTAGCTCTTTTCTTACATTTTTCTATACCAAAATGACCCTCATGAATTAAATTTAACATTTCCTTTTGCATAGATAAAGGAATAATTACCCTTCCTCCTTTGAAAAAATAAGTCATTTTCCATTGTCAACTCATCTCTGTAGTCCCAAAATACTTTGACTTGAGGTTCTACCTGATGTTTCCTTTCTGGCCAGCCTCTCAGAATATATTTCTTTAAGCACTGTAGTGTAGCATCACATTCACTTTCTTTCTTCAATGCATAAATTTTGTCATCAGATGCTGGAATCAGTGTACAAATTTCTGTATCTTCATCATTATCTTCTCTGTTGTATTCAAATTATGCTCTACTCAAAGTGTCTGCTATTAATAAGTCTTTCCCCCTTTTTGTATCGTACATCTAGATCATATTTTTGTAAATTTAACAGCATTCTTTGCAATCGCTGTGGTGCTTTAAAAAGAGGTTTCTTAGTTATGCTTTCTAATGGTCGATGATCAGTTTCAACTGTAATACGTTTGCCATATATATATTGATGAAATTTAGAACATCCAAAAGTAATATCTAAAAGCTCTTTTTCTATCTGAGCATAATTTTTCTGACTCTTTGTTAGAGCTCTGGAAGCATAAGCAATTGGTTGGTTTTCTTGTAGTAAAACAGCACCTAATCCTTCAGAACTTGCATCTACTGAAAGAGTTACATCCTTATTAACATCATAGAATTTTAATGCGGGTGCTTTTGCAATCAGTTCTTTAACCGTTAAGAGACTGGAGAGTTTGGAAAGGTTTCACTTAAAAGACGGGAATCCAAATCATTTCCAACCCCTTTTAGCGCCATTGTAAAGGGAAACTACTACTCGTTTGCAACTTTTCCTCTGGTCGCCCTTGGGGGTCGCCTTCCTTGTTAGTTTTCAGATAAGAGATAGGGAATAATACAAGGAATTTCTTGAATTTCTTCTCTTTTCTGCTGTTTCCCCTAAACTAGAAAAACATATGATGGTGAGATTTCGTAGCTAAATAATTGTCGTATGTTGGAAATAACTTTTGACATTGCGCCAATGAAAATACGCCTTAGCAACAAATGCATGCCTATAATCAGTCCATAGTCTAATCGTTTTTATTTGTTTCCAAACTGAATTTAGTTTAGAAATAATGTACTAATTAACATTTTTAATTTATACACGAAATGTGTTATATTTTTTTCTCGTATAAATCGGCAGTTCGCTTTCATTTGTTTAAGCATTGTGAACAGCTTATATTATATATTAAAAAATCCCTTTATATTTTTCTTATATAGTTTCGTTTACATTTTCATTAGTTTCTTATTCAGTTTAATTTATTGACCCCCCCCCCATTGTATGGTAAGTTATTTTATTTTCAGCTACATTGTTATTGTTCTTTCTGCAGTTTTGTGATAGCAGTTTTTTTATCCTTTAGCGTGCTTTTTTTTTTAATTGTTTTCCCTTTACTATAAAAAAAGATTTTATTGATTATTTTCATTGCATTGCATGCCTTGCTTTGCATGTTTCAAACAGCAATATTTAAATACAAAAATTACAATAGAAGGAAATAAAGAAAAAGTACATTTTTAATGACATTGAAAAATTGTGAATTAATACAAGTAAAATTTTAGCGGATTTATAAAACTTTATTTATTTATACAGACTTACTAGAGTTCGGTACTAGAGAGAACTAGCTGGTTGCAGTGACGTTATTGTACCTGAGTACCAACCATTTCTTTAAAAGACCCATGAAGCCCCTTCTCCCTTGGGCAGATAGCCCTTTGTGCCTTGGTCGTAATCCAAATATTCCCCTTTTATTATAATCGTTAAAAGACTGAAAGTTTTATAAAGAACATAATCCTCAAATATTGACGCTGTTATGAGGCCCTTTTACAGGAATTTAGCTCATTTTTCATTATGCACAAATGTAAGGAATACTGAAATACAAATGTTAGAAAATAGCATTTCTGGTTTACTTTACCATAATGATGAAAATTATTCTTATAAAAAAAGGCTTGGCCGAAAATTAATTCTGTCTCTCGAAATATTAGGCAACCCACACCGACAGGGGGGACGCTTCATGGAAGACTTTTAAGGGAAAACTGGCTTGTATGCACGTACATAAGAGGAAACATCGAAAACGCCTATGCAGCCGCTCTTTCGCCGGGATGAATCCCGGAATAACTATCAGTGTTCAGCGGCTTTTATAGCTCGGCGCTGATGGGCCTTTGTTAAGGACTTTCTACGTAAACTGGCCCATGTTTTCTTGCTCATATGTAGGAAAGAAATAGCAGATGCTTTATTTAGATCAAACGGAGAATAGAACTTTGAGAACCCCAGGTATATCGATTTCACTGATATCCCATTTGTTATCAGTACGGGAATACGGTTTAATTTTCTTATAAGAAAGAAGTTGAAACAAGGCTACATATTATCTATATTTTAATTAATATTCATTTTAATCATCTAAGAAACGAAGAGTAAATGCTAATTTATGAGAGATTTTTTTTAAAGTTAAATTTTAGTAAATGCTGTAAACTGTAATTTAATACTTTTCACATTTTGCTTTCTGGCCACATGTTGGATTTGCAAATATTTAAATAAAAGAAATAGAAAGCAAATATATAAGAGTAATTACTGCGGAACTCACAGAAAGTCTTGACTTTTAAGCGGAATACTCTTTCCATAAAATACCAGTAGTTGGAATATTATCGCGTTTGCCTTTCGTATTTTGAATAAAA